CTCCAAGGTCAAAAATTGCAGCTGTGGGTGATTTATTTTTTGCGCCAACTTTATTCAATAAATAATTAACTGTAATCTTGCTTGGTTTCTTACTTCATTATAAAACTTATCAAAATCAGTTCTGTATTATAAATCAAAAGATCAATCAAATAATTGATAAAATTGAGAAAGCCAATTCAAAAATAAAATAAACAATCTTACAAGAAATAGAAAATCTATGGAAGGATTTCAAAAAATTATTTGGCAAAAATATTGAACTAAAACCAAAATTTTTCATTCAGTGAAATGATCACTGAAATTTGTGAATTACTTGGAGAGGGAAAAGGTGTTGTTGCTTACAGGGTTGGGAATCGTACATGTATCGTACATGTATGTACGTATGAGCTTAAAAATTTTTTAGTACATTGTATGAACGTATCACGTGATTTATGATAAATTTTATTGGTAGATCAAATGTAATATATATACAGTATATGTTAAATTCGTCAACTTTTGTCACAGCAAACTATAACAATAATAATAATCAAACTCTTGTCATAACAGATTTTTAAAAATTTTTGCTTCGCATATCACATGTAAAAATATATAAATACTGTATATGATTGAAGATATTTAATACGATCATTTGGGATTTTATATTTGCATTTTAATTAATTTTGTATTTTGTTGGTAATAAAAGAAGGAACAATACCCTTGAGCATGTCAATAAATGTGAGATTGTTCAGGTTGCTATTATTATTGTTTTTCTTGTTATTCTTGATTTGGTTGTATAGCTCTTCCTTTGTTTCATGACAGATTTGTTGTACTTTCTGTTTGTTTTGAGGACATGATTGAAATCTTCTTTTTCATTGTTGCAGAGAATACAATTCCAATGTTTATACAAATCTAGCCTTCTTTTTTTTACATGTTCTAGTGTTGATATTTCTTCTAGAATAAATTTGATCTTGGAAGCTTTACAATTTGAGCTGAAAGGACAAAATTCGGTTTATGATACAAACAGGGCTGGCAGTGTAAAGGGTTAAAAGCCTAATTTAGTAATAATCATCTTGACTAAACTTGACTAAACTTGATTGTTGGGTGATCGACCATTTTTAAACCATTATAAGACGAATTTTTAAAACCCATATTTGGCTTAGAAAGTTATATTTTTATTATTTTGTAGAAATTATAATAAAATTCGGCTTAAACGAAAATAATTTTTATTAAATATGATTTGGTTAGCCAATTTTGCATCGTTATAAAGTGAAAATCGGTTTATGGTAGTTCAGTTTATCAAGGTTTGACTATATTATTATAAAAAAAAAAATTTAGTTGACTAATTAGTTGACTAAAGAAATTTTTGACCAACTAGTAGTCGACTAAGGATTTTTCGGACAATTCCAACCTCTACTATACCATTCAACAATGTGTTGAGAAATTGCGTCATGAATTGTGCCTTGCGCTTTGCTTGCGTCATGCACAACACCAATTACAATTTTTAATTTTGACAACATGTATAATATATATATAATGTTAAAAAATAATATAATAACTATTTATTGAAATATGCTGTAATACCACTTTGGTTATATTTAGTATTGTAATTTTTCCTTTTTAATGATTTAAAAGATTTAGATTCGATATAGTCTATTTCTATATTGCCTTGTTAAATAAAATTGTAAGCAGTCTCGAAAGCATTTTTTATTGAAGCCTTAGATATAGTCGTATTACTTTCAATTATAATTTTTTTCAATTGGCTTGAAAGAAGAATTCCTTCCTTAGTAATCATTTCATTATGTATTTTTTTCATTATCAATTATAATATACTGTATTTAATCATAAGTTTCATTACAATGCCTTTAAATCACAAAAATAATCATGTGTTTTATTACATCTTTAAAAAATAATTACCAATCATATTAATGTTTTTACTTGTTGATTTATTGTCATGTATATCCATAAATTTGTCAAAACACCAAAATTCGTCAACTGTCTTTCTTATTATGTAAATTTATCCATATAATTATATACAAAATAGCTTATCGTGTAACCACTCCTAAACCAGCTGAGACACCTAAGGCTCTTACATAAAACTCTGAAGACACATCTAAACCTCCAATAAATCACAAAGGGATTAAGACCATTTGGAAACATCGACCATTACTCAAACAAAAAGATTTGGAGAAGGCAAAAAACTGATGCTTGAAATTTTTCTAGACACATAATGGATGCAATACGTAATTTTATAATAATAACTATGTAAAAATAAAGAAATACATAGTATATCAATCGCAAATAGAATACAATCATGTATAATGCTGATATAGTAAATAATATAAAGTATCTTTTTGTTTAAGATTTACCCATAAACTTTTGTCTAAACTGCTTCAAAATTTGCTATGACCTACACGTGATTTACAGTGTGTAACAAAAAAAAAACGGAAATCTTTTATTTATTTTGTTCTCAATAATAATAATGGTTGAATGAAAATAGATAAAAATATATCGAAAAGAAAGCTGGAAATCAGAAGTTTTTATTAATATCAATTTTATATGAAACTTATTTTAATTGCTTTTAATATTAGGCAATGAAGTTAATTTTATTCCATTTAAAAATTCAATTATAAAAATCAGCAAATTCATTTCTCACTAATTTGCCAAAAGTCATTCCAATTCATTTGAGTTTTTTAGCATTCATACCCTGTGTCTTGCTTAAAAAACTCACCAAAAATTTTAGTGTTTCAATATATGAACATTGTTGAATAATTAATCATCACATAACTAATAGCGCATTTTTAAATCAAAGTCTTCATGAATAAATTTTGAGCTTAAAATAATTGACTTTCAAAAATCCGATTTAAATCAAATCAGCATCTCAATCTTTGTGATAAGTTCAGGAATGATCTCTATATAGAATGTAGTGGCAATTGGCTGCTAGAAAGAACAAAAAACATCATTTTTCTAAATTGCACCAAAAAATTTACGGGTTTTTTTGTTACACACTTGTAATTGACTGATTGCATAAAAAGGAATTTTAATCCGATTCTTTTTTTTTTGATTTTTACATACATCAATTGAAAAAAAGTGTATTATTTATAATATTAATAGTCATGCAACAACCTGAGCCTATAATGAATAATGTCTTCCTAGTGGATATCTGCATTGACAAAATATATGCAAATGATTCTTCTCCATTGGATATTGCAAAATTAGGAATAAAATATTTCATACAGGTATCTAATAAGATCCTTTTATTATTTATTCATGCTTAAATAATTATCACATTTTTTATTTATTGATTTTAGCAATATGCAAATTGTGGTAAAAATATTGGCTTTAAATGTATCTTGGCTACTTCAAATAAAAGACAGTGCTGTTTAAAGGTAGATGTACAATTAATATACCTAAAATATTAATCATAGCATAAATCAACAATAATTTAGTAACCAATATATATATATATATATATTTCCATCCAAAGTAGACTGAATTTCATGACTCAATACACACATTCTTAGAACAACTTGAATTATTGGGTCCTACAGATCCTGCTTATTATGGTTCAGGTCTTAACATTGTTTTTGAACTACTTAGCCTGCGTAGAATTGTTCGTAATATGGATTCACCCTATAGGGTTCGTTTAAAAATATGTACTATAATTATAAGAGAATTTGGTTTCTCCTAATCTCACACACACATTTTGATAAAATATTTATCCTAATACCATTTCACCTCTTAATAATTTCTTTACTCAATTGAAATTTATATTAGGGTAACTATGTTGAACATAATGAAACAACAAATATATTTTGGTTTACTGATGGTAAAAATATGAGTTGGTTAAATAAAGATCTTACATATCAGGTATTTAAAATTTTTTTTTTGTATCTCTGTTTGTTTATGGCATATTGATCTAAATGATATATTTAAAAATCATTTACACAGGGTTCCGAATCTCAATCACCTAGTGCAACAATTTACAAAACAAAATTTCGTTGGGATCAAAAACTTTATATATTCTTAATTACACAATTTCAAAATCCACAAAATCCAATTACAGAAATACCACCACCAAGTTTGGATTGGATTAATATGGTTATGCGTGGCAAGTAATTTTATAAAGTTTTCAACACAAAAATAAAATGAATGAATTGATTATTGATTAATCAATTGATTGGATATTTAGGACATATGTATTATATACATACACGAGGACAAATGTTACACGCTATAAGAAGTATACTAGGTATCGAAAAAGAGCCATATAAACTTTCAAAAAATCCATGTCAATATTCAATATTTCAAACATGCGGAGTACATTTAATTTTTTCAGAAGCTCAAAGTAGGCCTAATAAAAAAAAATAATATATAAATATATTTATATTATTTGATGACAAAATGATTTCATTAATACATTCATATATTTATTTATAATAGTAGGAAATAGTTCATCATCTCAACGTATGAATCATTTTGTGCAGTTATATGTTGACCCTGCAAGACAATCAGGATTTTACCCAATACCTGAAAATTTTTGGTTCGATTCTGAAGTATTAAAAACACACCCCATCAACAATAATTTGGTATGATACAATAATTCAAAATTTCTACAGTTATATATATATATATATTGTTTTTCTTGAAATAGGAAAAACCATTTTTTTCAATTAAAAAATTATTAGGTTAAAAGATCTTCAATACCAACATTAACATTTATTAGAGATAATCAATTTGCCTCAAAGTTGAACGAATTACCATCATTCATACCACGTGACATATATGTTGTGTCTGATTGCCAAATAACAAGAGATTTAAAAGTTCAACCACAAGGAATCAAGTGGCCTGTATGTATTATAAAATCAAAGTTCAAAAAAAAAAATATTTAATAAAGTCTATTTATATGATTTTGTAGGTATATGTTGAAAATAGCAGTAAATATGAACGCCTTGGTTATCCATTTGGTTATCTTATTGCCACACAAAAGGATGAATTTAGTTTGGATGTAAGTCTTGTAATCCTGCCGTACAATTTTGAACAATTAGGAGAGTTAATTGCCCGTTGTATGTGTCTATCCATTTTTACATAATAATTTTATACATATATTATATCTATTCATATAAGAAAAATTTAATAATGTATTTATATTATATCATATCAAAGATAATATTCAACCAAATGTTACACCTTCATCATATTGTATTCTTGAGTTAGCAAAATATTTACAAAATATACCATGGTACTATTATCAGGTAATTCAATAATAACTTGATATATCTATATGTTTAATAAATTAAATAAATAAACAATCATATTTTTCTTTAGGGGTTGAGACAAATTTTTCAAAACTGTAAATTGGATATTACAGCGTTTTCCTATAGACGTCCATTCACTGATGGGCTTGACATATATCTTAGACAAATCACACAAACTGCTGTTGTTAAATTTGACCAGATAAAAGAAGAAGTATCAGCAAATCGCTTGGTATGTTTGTTATCATATAGTTTATTATTCATTGTTCATAATATAAATATATAAAATCATTAATATTATTATTTTGTTATTTTTATTTTAAACACAGAATATATTTAAACCAATACCAATGGTTGAAAAAGTATGTCATAATAAGAATCATGAATTATTTTTAATTTTATATATTACATACAATATTTATATGAGTAATTTATATTTAAAATAGTCATGTTTATATCAGAAAGTTGGTCATTCTTCTCTTGCAAAATTGACTACAATTGCTAGAGCAGAATTTTTGAATCTTTTAGAAACACAATCTGAAGCTGGTACAAATATATATATATACACACATATATATTGAAAATATTAGCTTGCATTTGTATTAACTTTGTTGTTATTATTATAGATCCTGTTCACACATTAGGTACTGGTGATATGGGAAATTACAGGGATGTTATTGTTAAAAGGAAACAATCTCTATTAAGAGATTTATATTATGACTTTGATCCAAATGATAAAAAAAAGAAAGATAAACGTGCATTTGGTAGTCCATTTAAAAATCCTGACCAGGTAATTTCAAAAAAAAAATTTATATATATATATATCAATTAATTGGTTATTTATTATTATATTATTATATTATTATATTGAAAAGAAAACTCCAAATGAAAGAACTTTAAATAAGTTGCCAATTGATTTAAGAAATCGAATATTAAATTATCACAAAGAAGTTGTTTTTGAAGGATCACATGGAATTTTACCATTCAAAATTACCACCAAGCCTCTAACAACAATGCCAATTGAAAGATCATCAAAATCTAGGTCTACAAAATTACCAAAAAATCCATTTGAAACAGAAATTTCACAAAAGATTACCTCCAGCACCATAAATAAGGTAGAATTGTTGAATAAAAAAGTAGTCTCTCTAGAACAACAATTTAATGTTAACGAACATCGCAATAAAAAACCCATATTAATTAAAGCACAACATCCAATTATACCACCTATGGATGATTTGCAATTATTAAATAAAATGATAGAAAAACTTAAAGAAAAATTAAGATACAATTGCAAATTAACAAGTATGTTTTTATTTTTTATTTTATACAATTATTTAGTAATTCAATTTTTTATTATTTAAATATTTAAATATATATATCCATCTGATTTAGGTTATGATGAAATAATAAAACAATTAGAAGAAATTATTTCATTACCAAAAATTTCACAAGGATCTAAACTAGAAATCTTAAACTCCATGCAAAAATATGCTAAGGGATTGTCAAGAAATGATTTAGTTGAATGTATACAAAAATTAATTGAGAACAAAATTTAAAATCAATGATGTGATAAAAATTGTAATTACAAATTAAATAAAATAGCACATTTTTTTTTATACAATATTGAAAAATGAGCTTACTGTTAATAAAAATTTTTTTATTATTTTAAATAATGGGTACAGTGCGGATCATCTATACTCAAAAGTTAAAATTTTGAAATATCATGCGATCTCACATGTTGGATTTTAAAAAACCGCCATTCAATTCAGCGTTAAAAAGTGAGTCAATACATGTAAAAAAAAATTTTTGTTACACGAAATTTACTTTGTCTCAATTTCTTAAACGTATAACAAAATTTGGAATTTTCAAAATGCTAAGGCTCTGCCAATTTTTAGCTTAAGAAAAAACTAGCCAATAATTTTTGAGCATGAGCCATGAACAATAAAACTTATCGGTTAAATTTTTAAAATGATATAAAAATCTTTTGTTTTAGCAATTAATTGATTATAGATGATCTGCACCGTAGGGCATTTTATTAGTAAAAATCCCCAAAGTTACCCCCAAGTTATATCTTTATTCAAAAGTTATTGATATTATTATAAAAATTGTAATCCAATGCATTTTTCATCTTTAAAAAAGGAAGTTTAAACAGTATATATACAGTATATTAATCAAAAAATGTGAAGTTTGCTTTTTTTGAATAATAATAGTAATAATCCCATCATCCTTGATCTAAACAGTATTAAGATGCAAAGCTTTGACTTTCTAAAGAATCATCATCAGAACTATATTGTGCCTCTATATGAACTAAATATAATATATAAATGTACATAATATTATTTGAGAGTATATACCCCTAATAAAAAGACTTCCTGCTTTCGGAAATTTTTTTAGAAAATCAATCACGTGATTGTTCTTTATGTCGATCTTTTATATAAACCAAATGTTGACCATTTCACTCGTTCAATAAGTCATCAAAATTTCCTACCATAAAACTGACTGCAATTTCCTCACAAATCTCTAACATATTATGCAGTCTTATTTCATTATTAAACTATTATTTAAAAACATAGCAATAAACAATGAAATTAATATAGATAGTTTTGTATTTGGAATGGCAACTCTGTACATAGCTTGTATGATTTTTTGTATTTCCTTTTAATTAGTAAATGCGCCCTGAATTTTATGTGTTCCCATCCTCATTAATAAATGATTAAAAAATTAGATCTTGTTGGTTGCTTTATACATTAATATATTATTTAATTATTCATTCCTTTTTTAAAAATATTAAAGATCAGTCCTAATTATAAATGGGAATCTAAATTGTTTTTGGGGTTGTCTAAGTAAATTATCCAATAAAAATTCAATTTCAACATTTTAGACAATCATGGTCTCAATCGTCTAAATAATTTAGTTTAGATGCCCATCTATAGTCCTAATGGTCTTAGAACCGCAGTTCTAGGACTGTAGTTCAGATTGAGGTTTAAGACTGATGATCCAGTCCATCCCAAGCATGGACTAGCCAGTCTTAGACTTTCCCTTAATATCAAGTTACAATGTGTCAGAAAATTTCAATATATTAAATAAAGTCACCTAATTCAAAAATCATCACTGGGATGAACCTTATGGGGTCCAATTGTGGTACAGATTTTTACAAATGAGCTGCGGGCTGTATACCAAAGATTGCCCATTGCAAAAAGTAAGGTTAATCCTCTGATAATCCCCAGATAGTGATAGGGCCCCTGAATATGCTCTTGAAAATTTCCTCCAAGTACACAGTGAAACTCGATACAGCGTAGACTTTGGTGCAACAAGTTTGTCTACACGGTATTGAAAAATCCACAATAACCAAAACTTCAGTTTACAGTGTAGGTCATAATTAAATAATATTTAATACATCATAATGAGGTAAGTTATTTTTAAGGCTCCAAATGAATCAATGAAATTCAAACCAATTCAAATTGAATTGAATCACTTAATTTTTGATTCGTTTCATTCAAATTGAATTCAAATCAAATCTGAATTGTACTTTGATTCAATTCAATTTGATTTGAACAGATTTGAATATATAATTTGATTTGAATGGATTTGAATTCAAATTGATTTGATTTGATTCGAACAGATTCAAATATATAATTTGATACAATTCGAACTGATTTGAACTGATTGATTTGATTCAAACTGACTGGTTCAAATCTATAATAATAACTGATTTGAATCCATGATTTAAATCAAATACACTATATATAATAAATGAAAAATCTTTATTTTAATGTATATTTTATAATTTTATTTACAAAATATTTTTTTTTTTATATTTATTTATATAGTTAAAATTCAAAAAAAATTTTTACCTGGAGCAATAATTGCATCTCTTGTTGAAGAAATTGAGGAAGTTGAAGAAGCATCAGTAATATTAGTACTTATTATTTAATGAATTGTACAATTGTAAATCGTTACTTTTTTACTCATATAGGTCACACGACCATTAATATTAATCCGTTATTAAAAATTCGAATAAATATCATATCAAGAAGAATTTTATTATCATTAAACCATTCTTAGACCTC